GTAGCAGTAGCAGGAGCAGGAGCAGGAGCAGGCAGCAGGAGCAGCAGCAGCAGCAGCAGCAGCAGCAGCAGGAGCAGGAGCAGGAGCAGGAGCAGGAGCAGGAGCAGGAGCAGTAGCAGTAGGAGTAGGAGTAGTAGTAGTAGTAGTAGTAGTTGTTGTTGTTGTTGTAGTTGTAGTTGTTGTAGTTGTTGTTGTTGTGGTTGGTTGTTGTTGTTGTTGAATACTGACCCCAAACGGAATGAGGCACGTAAAGTCTTGGATGCTCACTTCTTGCGCTCATCGGGTGACTTCACGAAGCGCAGGAAAGGTACCTCGGAAAATCTTGGCTTTACCCACTCACCGGGCAGAGAAAACGGATTGATTGATCTCAGAGCCTGACCGGGCCGTTTATGAGACGCACGGTTCTGGGAAGCACGGGTGACAGCCTCTGCAGATGTGGCGCAAGGCCAGCATTGATGGCCAGCTTCCGACTTTGGGGCTCACACATCTGTGTCATTCTCTGCATGTTTGCAGGGTGAGGGTTGAAAAGCCTCGACACAAAGGCAAGAGATGAATCTGAATTTCTGGGAGTCTTCGTTGCAAGGCAGCTCAGCTTCCGACGCCCCTAAGGCCGCTGGCCCGGAGTGGGAGAGCAGCCTGCGACCAGCGTGTCTGGCTCAACAAATCATCCAAAAATTCGCTTCGCCCAAACCCCCTTCAGAAGCTGCGCAGCTTTCTTTCATCCGCAAATCAGAGCTCACGTGTCGCGTGCATCCTCCCTCCGTTCGCTTTGGTCGTAGAACCATATAGAACCTTCCGGACTTGGAAAGAATGCAAAATCCCACGACGGCAGCTTCGCGTGCCTATGCGGTCTCCTTCTCAGTGTACTTTCCCTTCTTCACAGAGCGGCTCTTCCTTTCCGCTCAAGGTACGTTGGAGGTATTGCTGAGGCAGCCCCCAACTGCACAAGATGGACTTCAGCGGGGTGGAGATGTCCTGTCCAAGAGGGCCTTGCGGTCCTTGTCAAGCTTGAGCTTCGTTATCTCAACCTTTGCTGAGACGGGGCGACTTGAAAATGAGACACTCTGGAGTGAATCCGTAATTGGGGAGAGAGGGATGGATAAGACCTGGAGCTGTGCCTTTCCACTAGACACTTTCACTTGCCCGAATGCGGCGACATCCCTCCCGGCTGCACCTTGGAAGAATGGATTGGGATGGGCACAGGCTGCCCATTCGCCTGCAAGGAGACTTAAGATAAGGACTGTCAGGAAGATCCTACGCCTAAACTCCCTAAACCCTAAAACTATGAAACCTAAACGAGGGGACACCACCATGCATCGTCGAAGGAGAAAGAAGCGAAGCTGAACTGCCAGCCTTGTCTCGGGTGACTCGCTCCACATGGATACCTGGGACTGGGAGGGATTCTGCCACTGCCAGCTAAGCCGTGGACACTTTGTGTATCCTTAAGGCTTAGTGACTCAGTGCCGAGGGGTGTTTCAATGTCAAGTTTGGCCGTGTCGGGCCGCCCGCAACATTCACGGTGTCGGGCGTATTCAAAGAGATCCCGAAACCCTCCGTAGAACATGCTCAACTAGGCTTCGGCCGATGCTCCTGGTGCACGCATCATGCGTAGCATAGTAGTTACTGGGCACTGCATGGCACATGGCCCCTTCGACGGTTTCGCTCTTCTTCCTTTGTGCGATGCCACCCCGGCAGGCCTTTGCAGCCCAAGCCATGGCACAGTCACTACCAAACAGCATCAAACAGCAAACCTTTTTCGGGTACCGACCTTTCTATTTCCTTGTAACCTCAATCGAGGAATTCTACCTTCACCAGTCGCCTTTCGACACACCAAGAGTCACTGCACTGGGGAAAGGGTGTCCAATGCAAGGTTTCGATGTCACACATCACCGTCGCGCTTGACACCGTCGTTTGACGTCGGTTGCCACGACTTTATACCAGTGTTCGGAACTGCCCTGGAAGAGCTAACCGCCCTAATTACCTAAACCTTTCGGGGAAAGCACTTAGGGCCCAGAATAATGACACTTTACCTTTGACTTCGCCTGTGAACTCTGCTAGCTGAGATGGCGCACGGAACTTCTTCCTGTACACCTGCGTCACCTTTCCTTCGCGATCGTTGTAGTGGCCCCGCCTAGGTGTTTGCCACAGCCAAAACGCCCGCATGTCGGAGCATTGCTGAGCTTGTGGCACGATCCTAACCTCATCATCCCGTCGAATGGGAACCGCACGCACCTCAGCTAATGGCCGCTGATGAGGCTTATTCAGGAAGTGAGCCCAACTCCTGCAATCTCCAAGGACCGGGCATTGTACTTCGTTCGGAGGTCCTTGCTTAAAGGCCTCAAGCTCATTTGCACGCACCGGTGAAGAAATTTCTTCACGCATGTCTCAAGAAGGCTCAGGCTGCCACGCACTCATAAGCACTCGGCGAATGTGCGAAGGAGCCGTGAAGTACGCCTTGCGATTCTTGCCTTTGTCGGAGGCACTGGCCAAGTTTGCACTTCCTCCTAACTGACGGATGAGACCCACCTAACATCAGCGAACCACCCCAAGACCCTACAAGGGGGGCCTTCCAGGGCCTTGCCCCATCAACAGCAAAGCGAGCAAGCAATATCCTGTGGCCGGCACGCCGGGAGCAGGTCACAGTGGCCTGGCTCCACACGCATTCAAAGCTCAGGGTTTGGGTTTACCAGGGCACGATAGAGGCCCTGGAAGAATTCCGAATACCTGCGGCCCTGGCCTTCTGCTTCATCGTCGCGAACGTGGAGGCTGCGGCACTACGTGAGCAATGGCTTGCTTGAGCCCTTGCGGTTTACAGAGGCATACAGAGACCTCCAAACCGGCTTTCAGTTCACGGCAGCCTCTCGAACCGCATCATGGTGTTCACAAATTTCCTGCCTCAGATAGAGCAGGGACCGGTCGCGCAAGTCGACGTCCGACCTGCGTTTCTGCCAAGAGCCGTCCGAGCTGCAAACATCCCCCGAGGTCGCGACTGGTAGGTCGCCAGGTGCTGCAGTAGCCGGAGCATCGGCTGGTAGATCACGGCCTGCACACACGCACTCCGCCTTGATCCTGGGAAAGATGAGATCCTCCTAACCCTCAAGCCGGTCCTGAGGATGCGAAAGGATGATTCGACGGCACGTAATGAGGACGCGCCTGACGCTTTGAGACTGGCGGCTTTGCTGCAAAGCAACGGATGCGGATTGCTGCGGAGCCAGCTGAGGCATCTGAGGCCTCCGCACACCCGCTTCCCATGTCAGGCTGGAGGATGGGCAGAACACCAGCCGATGTAGCGCCGTCAGGACGTAACTGGAAACACAGCATCGGCTCAAACGATGCCAGCAAGACTGAAGGATGAACATCACAGGACATGGGCGTTCATGTATCGTGTTGGCTTGCTCATCTGCGAAGGTCTCTGACCAGCTCGTTGCATGCAGTCCCCAGGTGACAAGGCTTTCCTTGAGGTCGTCATCGCAACTAGTCGGGCATTATGATGACTGTTGTTGCCGCTGCTACTCCGTAATGATTACTCTTGATTCTTGATACAACTAGTACTACTGCTATCATGCTTCCTACTCCTTTTGACCATTTCTAATCTTGTCATTCCAGTCTTATTGATTGTTGATATTGCGGCCATTATGATTCATCCCTGTGGCATGCCTTGGGTCCAGCCAGGGCGTCTCGGAGAGAATAACGAGGAGGCCAAAGTACCTTTGTATCCTGGCGCATGTCCGGGAGATGAACAAGCTATACGTGTGTAAGGCTGAGCGGGTATGTGACTCCGGTCCGGTTTCAGCACGTCTCATCTTATGTGTCTCAGGCCTTGATGGAGGCTCGAGGCGCGAAACGAACTGGCCGAGTGAGTGGAGCAGCTTCCACTGGACAGCCTGCCCCGGGGAACAGAAGCATCTGAAACAAACCCTATTTAAACCCCTAAACCCTAAAAACCCTAAATTAGCCGAAACCGGGCATGTGACCTTCAACCAGAAAACTGATGTGGTCACGGTCACAGCCACGTGCTCTAAGTACCTCAACGCTTGCCTTACCTGCCAAAACCTTTCACCATTTGCTACCTCGGCTTTCGCCAGGTGCTCTCCGAGCATCCAAAAAACGCGGGAACAGAGGATTAATGGGCTTGCTTGTCGTGCTGCAGTACTGGACCTTGTATTACGACAGCAAAGGAGTCTTCTGAAAAGATCTGCTCCCCATGTGCACCCCAACCATACGGCTGAGGCATGTTTAGAGCCGCTCACTCGGGCGAATGTCATACTTGTTCAGCTTACGAAATCGAATTTCGGGCCGGCCCAGTGCTTGCGATCGTGCCAATCGCGGATGGGATGCGAACGATTAGAGCCCTGCAGTCTTTGAAAAAAGCTTGCAATCCTAGCATGCTGAAGGCACGGTCATCGGGTCTTGCCACATGATTGGCTTCAAACCCTAAACCCCAAACACTAAACCCCAAACCCCAAACCCTAAACCCGAAACCCTAAACCCGAAACCCCAAACCCTAAATCCCAAAGCCTAAACCCCTTGTGGCCCACATGATGTCGCTGCAAAAAACAAGCGATTTGTTTTAGCGCCGGCCTTGGAGTTCACCCTCTGGTTGAGCGCTAGAACCTCGGGTGAGGGGACAGGGGCGGTTTAGGGTTTTTAGGTAGGATTCACAGGGTTTAGGGTTTTAGGTAGGATTTACAGGGCCTAGGGTTTTAGGTAGGATTTACTGCAGGGTTTACGGCTTAGGGGGCAGGGGACTGGACGCGGAAAGCCCGCTCATCAGGAACTTTGAGCCGTCTGCCGAAGGAAGCAATCGCAGGTGCGACCGCCTCGATCTTCATGGCTTCACAAAGTTCTCCCCGTACTGGTGGCTGCTTCTGCTTTCGTGTCATTGAGGCCGAAGCAGCATGTCGCACAAGGATTGCGGAACCTGTGCAGAGCGACTCTGATGGGGCAGGCCAGGGCTGGGGATGAAGAATTGAAGGCCTCCAGGCGGTCCATCTCCGGTGCAAAATCCTGCACGCAATCTCGATCTCTTCCGAGATATCCGAGATGACCACGGCAGCTACCGAACACTCGCTCATGATTGCTCACATATTTCCGGACAAGCGGCAATCAGTACTCGGAGTAGGAAACGGAAAACTACGGCATGGGCACCCACCTCAGTGAGCGTCCAGGAAGCTCGACACCGCGCGTGCGTCCGCAACGATCGCAAAAAGCAGACAGTATGGAATCAGGGTTTAGGGCTTAAGGCTTAGAGCTTCGGGTATCTGGCACCGCAGTCACATTGCCCACCACACACTTCGGCTCTAGGCAAGCAACTGGCCGATGACAGTATTTGAACTCCGAGAGGGACTCCAGGACGATCTCAGTCGTCAGGAGGTTTGCCAGAGCAGAAACGCAGACTCTCGCAGACTGTGCGCTACTTTTCCGGGTAGGAACCACTAAGACTCTGGCCAACAGATTGCTGGGCAGGTTCTGCGAGAGTTTGAAGCAGTACAGTAGCGCCTCAGCAGCATGTGAGGAACCTTCGAAGCCAGTGGAATTCTCACATCGGGTGACCCCAAGCAACACGACATCCGCCCCACGAGACGGGCACTTGCAGCTTCATCTCCTTCAGCTCCAAAGGATCCTGCAACGACGGTCTCGGGATTAGGGTTCAGGGGTTTAGGGGTTTTGGGGTTTGGGGGTTTAGGGGTTTAGGGGTTTAGGGCTTAAGGGTTTAAGGGTTTAGGGGTTTAGGGGTTTAGGGTGCGGGTCAACTGCCCTAAACCCCCCCCCCCTCTCTCACAGGCAAAATTGCCACTCGGGGCCCGGCGTGCCAGCGAGGGCAGAGCTCTTGCACCCGCTCCTAGGCTTTACAGTGAGGGCATACCGTGGTTATTTACATAAAACAAGCTCATCAAGGCCCGAAACCTTAACCCCTAAACCCCATTATAAGAAGGCTATAAGGCAACCCTTGTAGAACCCGTAGAGAGCTGTTCAACGGCCCTTATACTACCTTTATCGAGCCCTTCCCAGAACCCTTCATAAGAGAAACACCCTTCTACTGCGGCACCCTCAACCCCTAAACCCTTACCAGAACCCTTTATAAACGGGTACACCCAGGCTCCCAGAGCAAATTGAAAGAGATCTTCGAAGAGCTCGAAAGAGCGATGAGCCAGCTGACGGACAGCAAGCGAAAGCATGGCCTTAGCATTTCAAGGTTTGGGATTTAAGGTTTAGGGGTTTAAGGGCTGAGTTTTAGGGGTTCAGTGTTTAGGGATTCTGCTTCTCTGCTAGACTGGATAGACTTGCTTAGACCGGGATCCCTGTCCTAGGAGGTGGCTGATAGAAAGATGAGTACAAGCATCAACACCATAACCTACAGGCTAAGCCTACAGGCTATAGAAACATCATCTGACATGGCATCTCGCATGGCACCCCATGATCATGCGAGCGCTGAGAGCGTGGCTCCATGGCCCCATCCTGCACCAGTGCGAAGAGCCGATGAACCACCGCCTCAGCCACGGTGTTGGAGCCAAGCTCCTCCGAGGCTTCCCTGAACGCGGGGGGGATTCTTAGAATCTTAGGGCTTCTAGGGTAATTAGGGACAGCAGGAGATAGCGTCCTTTAAGGGTTCCTTTCTAAGGGATCTATAGGGTTACTTTATGAAGGGCTTAGGGACACCAGTAATGGGCTCCTTTAGGGGATAAGGTTCCCTTTAAGGGGGACCCGAGTATAAAAACCTACAATACCCTGCAAAGGGAACCCCAAAATAGAACCGTTTGGTGCTCTTTAAGGGTCCCTTTGAGACTTTAAGGACTAAGGGTTATGGCTTTTGGGGCTTTCAGGGTTTAGGGGCCTCAATAGACACAATGGGGTTATGGGGTCTGGTAGAGTATTGTTTGCTCCTTTGCTGTGAAGAGTGCGTTCACCACCATGAAGGCGTGCAGCCTCGGCTGTGCTCGGAGGCCCTTTAAAACTACAACTACAAGGTTTGTTCCGTCTCATTTCTTCCTCACTAAGAGGGAGAAACCGTGCTCAAAAACGCCCCAGCAGCAAGGACGGCCGTGAGGCATGCAACAAGGGCGAGAAGTGATGGAAGACCACGCGCTGCGGCAGTGCTAAGACTTTCACGAAGAGGCTTAGGCGTTCGGCGATGAAGATCTTGGTCCAGGACGAGGATGTGGGCATCGCCTCCAGGACCAAGCCGATGCTTCTTGTCATGGTCCTCACTAGTTTGCGAGGCAATCGAGGAGGTGTCTGATCCGTTGCGAGGTCAAAAGCGAACTCCGGGCCTGCGTGGCAGTTCTTCGGGATGTGGAAGCGGAACATGGAGTCCTTGGAGTCGCCTTTCGCTTGAGGCAGCGCCCACTGGCTGGACTGGCCGGTCTCGTCCTCGCCGCGTGGAGTGAGGGGCGGCGTGCCGGGCCTGGACCCCGCCAGAGGTGTCGTGAGGCCCGACTGCAGCGAGAGCTCCGTTAGATCCTCGCGCCGTTCCTCTGGCTGATGCTTCAGTGCCTCCTGCACCAACTGCTCAGTGAAATGCTGGATCGTGGTGAAAAAGAGCCGCGCATAGCTCTCCTGTATGTGCAGCAGCTCGTCGTTGGCGAACTTGGCAAGCGTGTTGATGCCGACGGAGGAGCCCTGTTGCACAGTGGCTGTCATTCCACCCGCCCAGATGGGAGGCACCGTCCAGTCCTCTCCGAGTAGCGGAAACCTGCGCTCTTGTCAAAGAACCTGGCCTAGTTTTTGCTACCGTATGCTACCATAATCAGGACTCGTTAAGAACCCCCAAACTTCGGGAAGCGAATTCCGCACCACATGTGCCCAAAGTTTGCAAACGTCAATAGATCCTTGGCCCGGAAAACACCAGTAGTAAGAGACCTTACATAGCCCGAATTTCACAAATGCTGAAAAAGCATTCAATAATCCTTTAACCCTATATGTTACTCTCATAAAAACAACCAAAGAAACAGAAGCCCTGTATGCCCTGTAAAACTTAACACAAAACACAAAAGCACCAAAACCCATGTAAAGGACCTAGAAACGGAACTCTAAAACCTTCTAAAGGACCCAGAAACAGAACCCTGAAGCGCTTTCAAGGACCCAGAACTAGGTTCCTCAGTGACCCCTTCATGATAAGGGTACCCTGTTTCCTGTTATTCAGTCTTATAAAGGCAGCCATGCAAAAAAAAAAAAAAAAGCAAAAGGGTACTACTCAGTAACCTCGAGAAACAGAAGCCCTGGATGCCAGCTCTCCAGTTCGTGCAAGCACTCGCAGGCATAGGCCCGAAGGATTCGATCCGCTGACTTGTTTGTGTGCTTTACCTGGGCTGTGAGTTGAGGGGTTTAGAGTTTAGGATTTAGGTTTAGGACCGTTCAGGGCTCTAGGGGTTTAGGGTGGGCTTTACTTACCTGGGCGTTTTTTTTTTGATTTCTTGAGCGCTCCTTGATCGATCCTTGTGCCTAGGGTCTTTGAGGAGATGTCAGAGCTCAATGAATTGTTAAAGTTTGGGGTTTGCGTCTTGCTTTCCCGGGTCAAACAGGCTCCAGGGTTTGCGATGAAAGGCTCCTTATTAGCTTGGAGGCTTAGGTCTTGTAGGGCTTCCGGATAGGGAATGAAAACATTTCCCTCGTTGGTTTATGTAAAGCTAAAGTAGGCCCAACCACAAAAACTCAAAAGGGTTCCTAGCATTGAGCAAGTTACCATTGAGTATAACAGATCCACGAAGCCTTCGAAGCGAGCAACGTCTGTCTCGAAGGTGTTGAACTGTATCAAGAGTGCCGTATACGTGACCAGAACTTGCGACTTCAATGAATACGTCATGCCCTGACCATCAACTGGTGAACCCAGAATGTTCTCGAGCACGAAGTATACTTTGTGAAGCCGCGAATAATCGAAGACCAAACTCTTGCCGTGCTCCTCTAAGAAAACGAGCGCAGACGTCCTTTCAACTTCATCTTTCTCAGTCAGAATGGTTAGCAGCAGTATGTCGAGAAGCTGGATTTCTGACATTGTCTCCGACGGACTTCTGCCGTTAACAACATACTTGAGTGCCTTTTCGCTTGACTCATCGTTCCAGCTGAAAGCATATCGGAGCATTTCATAGGTCCAGTCAGACATGGCGCTGGTCCGTACCACTTCCCGTTATCCTGAAGTGGGCAGCCACGCGATATCTGCTGGGCCTGTGCCATGCGCTCAAGCACCATTGGACAAAGCACCACACGGCATCAATGACAGTCAAGAATACCCACCTGCAGCCTAGGTATAGTAATATTTCACTTTCAGTCAGGTGACGTCTTTGTTACACCATTGTGGTTCCTTCGTACTTTCCCAAATACTCAGAACATCAACATGTACACATGCACACCACTTGCATTGATGTAGCCGGATGGATAGATTGAATGCCTAAACTCGCCAGGTGCCGGTGGGACCAAAGATGGCAAAATTACTCAACAACTTCGCTTACTTCCACAACCCCCTGATCTTGAAAGTGTCCTTCGATCCTGGAAAGCTGTGGGCAACGGACATTCCTGTCAACATGCCGCGCGTCTGTGGGACAACCGTGGCAAAGGCAACCAGTAACCTAGAAGACAATGCAGGAAGGACAAGATGCAAAGGCGGGGTCATCTTCACCCGGTTGGCTTGCTTACTCTAGGACCCAGTCTGCACTCGGTCTTCATTTTGGCCGCACAGTCTTTGTAGAGAGCGCGCAAGGCCACCGGTAAGTCTGCTAGAAGCCTGCACTTTGTGGGGATCACCCCAAGCATATCAGCGACTTTAGAGGAGTTGCAGCGGAGGGCGACTTGTGAAATACCTGTCCCATCCTCCGGACATCACAACATAGCGGCGAGAGGTCGCGGCTCAGGATTGGACGGCCAGCCTCGAGGGCACATGTAAAAGGAAGGAGTCCAGCATCCAAAGTTGAAGCGCACACAGCGACCCTGCCGTGAAAATTGAAAGGATCAACGACGACGGAACCGAGGCACCTATTTCACATTGACCAGCAAGGGACACACTTGTGCAGATGGTCCAAAGCCCAGAAGAGGCTACATCACACCAGAGGAGACAAGGATGTTGAGAGTCCTGGCTAGAAAACTACCATAACCGGCACTCTTGAGCAAGCGAGACCATACTCTTCTCAAGCCACCTTTCTGCCAGCCGGCAAAGCACAAGCGGCAGCAACAATGATCCCACTGCAAACCCCACTGGGCCTTATCAAATGTTCCATGAAAACCTTCAGGGACACATCGTCCGTGATGACGACCTGGAGTTGATACCGCTTGATCACGGACTGGTCGCCATACTTTGAACTACAGCGCACCTTCAGTACCTTCAGCTACTGACCAGGGTCCAAACAGAGGAGTCGGAGCCGCCGCCGCCCCAGCCCGGCCCAGAATTGTGCGTCTGGGAAGGATTCACCTGTGCAGATAAAGACACTTCAGCTCCAGGTCAAGGCTCTCTCTTCCGGCAGCTTTCAACAGGACACCACAGAAACGGCTCTTCACACGAGCCCTGAAAGGCCCCAGCCCTAACTTAAAGCTCGAGAAATCCCTGTTTGAGCACGGACACCCAGGCCTTGGAGGTGAGGAAGCGCGCCTGCGAGCCGCCCGCATTGGTCTGAATGAACTTCGGCACCTAAGCGGAGGCCAAGGAGATCCCAAGTAAGCCAGGCAGAGCCATGAAGTCTCTCCCGCGAATCTGCGGGTCCTAAGCAGCATGCAGGGAATCGATCCGCTAGGATGTGCTTCGCATCTTCGGCTGGCGCTGTCAACAAGGCCTGCAAAGGAATGGCTACAGAAGAAAGACAACAATGATGCTCACATCACACCGAGACGTGGCCTTAAAGTTTGCGTACTCCTCCTTCTCCTGTTCCAGAAATGTGATATGGAGTGCACTGTCTCATCAGGATTTCAGACGCCCACCTGGTAACCTGCATCATACCAGGCTTGAATCATCTCGCCTGCGACCACATGAGGCTTGCAGTTCGGCGGGCTATGTTGACACAAGGTCCATTGGACGAAGGCTTGCTGGCGGAATGCTCAACCCAGCCACGGGGTGCTGGAGAGCTGCATTCGGTGCCTGACCTGTGTCATAGTTCGACGTTCTGCATCTCAAAACATTTGATTTCCTTCCCTCGCCGATCGGCCTTCCATCAATAGCCAGTCTCGATCCATCCAAAAACCAAAACCTTAAGTTTTGAAATGTCTCCTGCACGGCTAGCCGTTTTAATCACGATCACTGTCCTGTCCTGGGAACATGCTGAGTCTTTCCGCAAGAGACGTCGTCGGCCTCTGCAACCTGCTTTCCACTAGGCGCATCACAGCTCCTCCTCGCACTTAGCATCACATTCTTCAACGGGGGCGGTCTGGGAGGTGCGGGCGGCGCGGACGGCGTGCAGATACCTTCCCGCCCACAATGAAGGTTTCGACCCAAACCTTATGAACCCAAAACCTGGGAACCTGGGAACGACCTTCAGCGTACCCTTTTAAGATAGGGGTATATGTGTCCTCTCATCCTTCCGGTTTGGGGTTTAGGGCTCATGATGGTTTAAGGTCCAGGGTTTAGGGCTCATCAGCATTGTGTGATGTTTAGGCTTTAGGGCTTGTTTCGACCAGTTATTAGGGTTCAGGGCACGTAACGATCTTCAGACCTCGCCATGCACACAGAATGCATTGAAAAGCCTCGCCAAATCACGACGTGGAAGAAGGCATCCAGCAAGAGGATCACGTTCGGCCTGAGCGACAGCGTTTGAAGCCCTCTGAAGAAAGATGCAACCCTCAACAGTAAAATCTAAACCCCGCACCCTAAATCCTATAATCCTCAAACCCGTGAAGTTCCAGATTTCTGCAACTGCCCCGTCTTTTTGCCGCCTCGCCCGTCACGAGAGTTGAATCCCAAGCTTCGCTGCCTGGAGTTCCCCGGCGGCCCGAGACCCTAAACCCTAACAGTAACCCCCGGGTTTAGGGTTCAGGGTTTAGGGTTTAGGAAATCCTAACAGTAACCGCCCTAGTGGCATCTCTCAGAGTAACCCTTGTAGCACCGGTAGCCCTGATGAGTAACCCTTAAAAGAGGACCCCTAAGCCTGCACCCTAGACAGCCCTAAGCGCTTCTCCCGGTGAGATGGCGAAGGAACTCAGCCCCGGCCAGATTGGGCAACATTGGCCTTGGTAGCAGATTCGCAGCGTCGAAAGGACTTGAAAACAACAGAAAGCGGCAAATCAAGAGAACGGCAAGTCATACTAAGAGTATTAAGTACAAGGCTCAACAGACGTCCGAGGCACCCCTCCTTCTCTCACTTCTTCTTCTCCAGTTGGCCCGTTCGGGCGGCCACCACCCATTCGGTGAGCCAGTTGAGGTCGTCGGGGTTCTCCCTCAACACCCAGGTGCGGTGGTTTGGTGTTTAAGTTGATGCTTGAGGGTTTCAGGGCTTACGTTGAGGCTTGAAGCCACGAAACCTTTAGTTCGACTCCGGCTCTTCGAATGTATGGGAAAAAACCTACACCCTGGAATCCCAGGACCCCTGTCCCTAAACCCGCGGGGCTCTTAGGACTTGAGAAGTCTTTGGGGAATTTGGGGGGGGTTCCACGGCCCTCTTTTTTGAACCCAGGCCTCCGAGCTTTCTCCCAGTCTCCTGTGCGGGCTTTTCCATCCAGGCACATGTAGGTGCCGTCCGGAAGGAGGCCCTGGTCGTCTAAGTAACGCGAAGACCTCATCGCTTTGCCCAGGATTTACGGCTTTTCGGGATGCTTGGGATTTAGGGTCATAACTTGGGGTTTAGGGATGTTTGCGGTTTAGGTTCATAACTCGCGGTATACCGATACTTAGAGCTTGCAAGTGGCGTCTAGCAACAACTTTTCGGCATGGCTCAACGCTTGCGGCATGGAGTTTGCAGGATCAACTACTGTCTGGATTTTGAAGAAATTGAATTCAAGTCGCGAGGAGCCGTCTTCGTCCTCTGATGCATCCTGGACAACTTGCAGTTGGGCTTGCGTGTCGGGCGATCGTCTTCTCTGTCTGGTGCTGTCAAGTGGCTGCATCATGCGCTTGCAGGCGCTCTATGAGAACGGCCTGAGCACAGAAAGAGCACGCGCAGTAGTTCCCGGAACAGCCCTAAACCACCCTTTCACCCGGAAACCAGAAACATGTAATTACTAGCATGTAATCTGTTATGCACGAACATGTACAAAACATTAGAATGCATGCTGACATGGACTCACATGTACTAACAAACACATAGGTACAGACATGGATACTTACGTAGACGCGTACATACATGCATGCATGCATGCATACGTACATTGATTCAGACACAGACAGTCAAACAGACAAACAGCCAGCGAGCCAGCCAAACACGCAGGCAGACCCGCAGACCTGCATACATGCATACATACGTACCTACCTACCTACCTACCTACCTACCTGCCTACCTACCGACCTACCTACCTACCTACCTTCCTTCCTACCCACCTACCTCGCTGCCTACCTACCTACCTACCTACCTACCTACCTACCTACCTACCTACCTACCTAGCTACCCACCCACCTAGCTACCCACACACCTAGCTAGCTAGCTAGCTACCTACCTACCTACACATACATACATCCATCCATGCATGCATACATACATACATACAACATATACAAATGCAGATGCACATGCATATATACCGATATAAACAGACATACATGTGTGTATATGTACGCGCATTAACATATATGCCCACATACATGTATATCCACATACATACCTTTTATACAAATGTACATATCTATGTATGTATGCATGTATGTACACTGTATCATATGGTTCTGTATGCATGTATGTAGATGCTTATGTGTGTATGTAGGTGCGTACACATATGTATGTATGTATGCATGCATGCATGCATGCGTGCGTGCATGCATGTATTTATGTTGGTATGTACACATATGTATGTGAGTGTATATGTGTATGTCCTTATTTAGTGTATAGTATGTAAATATGTATATATATATATACATATTACTTATTTGTCTATCTATCTATCTATATATGTATATATATACATATGTGTGTGTGTCATGTGTATATATATATACGCTTATAAATATATATATATATACATATATACACTCATTTTTTTGCATACATATATATATATATATACATACATATGTGTGTATATTGTAGAATGCATACATACGAGATAGATATGTACATGCACATGACACGTGTATATACACATGTCCCTACCGCGGCCGAGTGATGCTTTGTGCGCCAGCCTTGCGGCCTTCCAGCTTGAGACCCAGCTCCCGGAGGCGGGCCTGTCCGCAAGTCTAGCAAAATGCGAAAATACTAACAATGAGAATATTAAGAACCGTAACCCGAACAAAAAAAAATATGGACAGTAGTACCGATACTGGTAACAGTAGAAGAAGATAGTAGAAGTGGACACCAAGATGGAAGCTTAATGGCACAGAAGGGCTTAGTGTTACGGGCAGTAAGGGTGCGTTAACGTTTAAAAGTCTGTAAGGGCTCAGTGCTTTTGGGGCTGAGGTTGTGTACCGTAGTAACAACTTTCAAGGTCAGAGATTCTGGCAACTACGGTCGTGCCGGAGTTGCCAGTTGCCATCACATGTTTTACGGGCAGTGAGGAGTGCCCGAGCCTCTCAGATTATGGGGACTATAAAACACATGAAGCCGTTCCAAGGTGGCGCCTTGAGCTCTTTGACGTTCATGCTGCTGTAGTCTGGAACCGCATTCCGACAGACAGATCGGTCTGTGGACCTGTGCAAACCATTCTAGTCCAGATTCGGGCGGAAGAGAAAGCCGTGACGCAATGGACGTGGCAGACTGCGACACTGTACTTCACGATGCTTCATGCGTGGCATGGTCGGGAACTGCCCGGAGGTGTTAAGCATATCTGAGGTTTTGGGTGATCCGGATGCCAGATGTTGCTAAACATGAATGGGGATTGAACGCTGGCCACTCCCTTATGCACCGATGTCTACAAGCATTGATGCGGGTTCGATGAGCATAGCCGCATGCTTGCACAAGGTAGCATGCCCTCGAATCGCTTACAGCCAGCCCATCTCGACGTGCAACGTACTGTCCAATTATCGATGAAACTCACGTGTTGTGCACTGCCACATGTAGCCGAATTCGTCGACAAGACATTAGACATAGTAGATCCAAAGCCTTCTCAGCCCCCAAAGACATGGCGTGGGCAATGTAAAGGATGGAGACAGCGATCGGCAGCCGCCAAGCTCCTGCAAGCCGTGTTCGCACTGCCCGGAAGAGCAGAGATGAAGCAAACTGCTTTCACCCAGCACATCTTCAAAGTATGCCGAAGACCTCGAACCAGCCTGACATAAAATGTAGAGCATGACTTTTCGATGCAAGTGCAGCAGCCAGTGAAATGTGGGCCAGGCTAGCAGCCGAACCCTGTCTGAGCAATTCCCGCGCTGACTGACAGTATACACATGTATACATATAATACATATATGTCTATATATATATATATACATGTGTGTCTCCTACTACTACTACTACTACTACTACTACTACCACGACTACCACTACCACTACCACCACCAGTACCAGTACCAGTACCACTACCACTTATAATAATCATGATACTACTACTACCCCTGCTACTGCTGCTACTACTACTACTACTACCACCACTACCACTACCACGACCAAGACCACGACCACGACCACTACTACTTCTACCACCACCACGACGACGACTACTACTACTATCGTTACTCCTACTACTGCTACTCCTACTCCTCCTCCTCCTCCGACTGCTGCTGCTACTGCTCCTGCTACTGCTGCTGCTACTACTACTGCTACTATCGCTACGGCTACCTGAACTGCAAGCTTGTACTGCAACAGCTGCTGCTACTCTCACGGCCACGAAGCTGTGGCGTCTGTCGCTACTGCTAATGCTTACCGCCGCTCGACCACGACCGCTGCGGCTACGGCTACGGCTATTGCTACTGCTACTGCCACTGCTGTTGCTACTGCTGCTGCTGCTGCTTCTGCTGCTGCTACTGCAGCTACTGCAGCTACTGCAGCTGCTGCGACTGCAGCTGCTTTTGCATATCGCTGCGGCTACGGCTCTGCTACTTGTACTGCGACCACCCACCACCACCACCACCACCACCGCCACCACCACCGCTGCGATTGCTGTTGACACGAAACTGCAGCTAAAAGAAATCCCATCACGACGGGACCTCCAGAATGACACAGTGTCGGCAAAGGCACACATCTCAGAAGAAGATTGCTATCGTGGTCACCAATGCAAAGGACCTCACATTGAACAACCCGATTTTCTGCTGCAGCTGCAGTGTACTCCGTGCGCCTGCAAGATCCCCGGTTTTGCCTGATGGCAGAAACTCAGGAGATGGGGGAATCTGGGATAGAGGCTTCGCACAAAAATTCCGTCAGCTTCTCAACTTCTCCAGAGCGCCGTGCTAATAACGCAGTACCGTGTTGCCGCTCTGTTTCTTGAAGATCATGACTCCTAGTTGCCGTGCTAAATCAAAATTAAACCTCTCACACGCGTCGAGTTCGTAGCAGTTGTAATATTAACAGCAGCTGGGAAGGCAAGGTGCACACACACACACACAAACACATGCACACACACACAGAGAGCTGCATGCAAATATACATGTACATATATATATACATACATACATACATACATACATACATACATATATACGTATGTGCATTACCATGTGATGCAGTCTACTGTAGTATAGTCCTGTGTTCGTCTATGATATCATATCATACTACGTTTATACTTTATTGTAGTATGTTATATTGTAGCAAAGTATATCAGAATACGTCATATTCAGTTCTAATATGCTATGTTATAGTACACTAGATTATGTTGCTTGTGTTAATATAACATTGCGTTATATTCTAGTATATTGCCTTATACTATGTTAAACTATACAATACTATACGACATTACAGTATAAATTATACAAGACTAGCTGAGTAATTATGCCCTCTTCTCTTACATTCTGTTGCACTATTACATGTCTTTATAAGTCTGTATATTGTAAAAAACCTTACATTATGCATTCTGTAACAGGATATTCGTGAATTAATGTATAGGGCATAGTTTGACATATTTCATTGTATGTTGCATTATACGATACATTATGTTTTCGTATGTGTGTTATATTGCATGACGTCTTGTATTCCATGTAGTACATACCGTGTGTTATAGTTACAATATATATATATATATATTTATTTATTTATTTATCTATTTACTTATTTATCTATTTATATTTAGTTATTTATATTTATTTATATATATACACATATATATATATATATGAAAGGCTATGTTCTATTTTTTTACATTGGATATTATGGTATAACACATATTATTATAACATATAGAACCTTTATATAATCTAGTATACAATGCTCTGTATTATACTGTATATTGCAGTGAGCATGGTATAAGGAAGAAATAATACTGTACTGTGTTATGCTATATGTACTTTACTTTTCTATCAGTTCATATTATTTGTTTGGAAAATAGCAAAAACATACAAAGATACATTATCCTACATTGTATTGTGCTATGTGACAAGTTACATTATTTTATGCGTTGCGTATGTAATTTCGTTATATATCTGCATGTATACCTATGTATATTATATATATATGTATAGATATGTGTGTCAGAATGCAGAGTGGTCATTGCTCTCGCGGGAAAGTGGAGATGCGGCAGATATACCGGCAGCAGCCTCATGACCATCATCACCATCGACAACCACCCTGGTCATCCTCATGACCATCACTGTTACCACGAGCATCATCCTGGTTGTCGCCATAGTAGCCGTTCCCACGATAAGAAACATTGTCAACAACATCGTCATCATCATCATGATTGCCATCGTTGCTCTGCAAGAACCACCACCACCACAACAACAACCGCGACGAACAGCCGCCACCATCATCCCCGTCCCCTTGCCTGTCGCTGCATCCGCATTTCGTTCCTTGGCGGTGGCACCTGATGGCGAGAGGGTTCGATTTCAGGGTTTGTCGGTGCTTCCATGCTTTGCTTGGTGTACAGAAAAGGACTGTGGTCTTGATGTTTGCAGCCTGAAGTTGAACTAACCCTCATCACACCTTTGAACTGATGGACACCATGGAGCCCACAATAGACCCGAAACCCAATTAACATTGATTTCCGAAGTGCCTCGCCAATCGCGAGCGGAATGGCCGCAGAGCTCAGGCAAAGACCTAGCCGAGGTGGTGTGCAAAGCACGCGTAGCTACCGTTACCGCCCAACCCGAACTGAGCACAAACGTGTCCAGGATTAGTAGCCTTTCCCGTCGGGCTCAGGGCGCCGAAACCGACAAGATCCAGATCCTTTGCGGAAATCAGCATGTTGGTCCGTTGCCCGGGGTTCGTTGACGAACCTGTCGGCTGTAACATCGAATAGATGTGAGAACGGCATGGTTTTTCATGTTCTCGTCATCCTTTCACTGCTGCACTCATGCGTGCAAGCTCGAACAAGCTGTTGAATTTTGTGGATCTGTGGGCCGGACTTGCCGTGTGAGCCAAGGACGGTGCAGCATAGACGTTGGCAAGCAGGCGAACAACACCCCTGAAGAAAACATTTAAGCATCTACATGAGGGATCCTCAGGGCTGCATGCTGTGGCTGGGCAATGCAGCCTCTTTATCAACACGGCCGGCAACTTCCTCCAGCTGGGCCATGCCGCACGAGCCGAGCCTGTTGACGCTGTGCAAGGCTCCATCATCGCTGGCAGCCACAGTGCAGCCTGAGGATGTTGAAAGCTAATATTAAAAATGAGGCCAGAAGTACAGTAGCACTCGCTGTGTTAACACATAGCAGTTGTACCAGTAGTCCTAGCAGTCGACATGGCAGTCGTAGCCGCGCGCGTAACAGTACTCGCAGCAGTAGCCCCAGCCGTAGCCGTCGTGCTACCAGATAGTAGGCTTAGTACTGGTCTTATTTTCAATATCAGCGTCAGTATCGGTATGAATAGTAGTAGTAGTAGTAGTAGTAGTGGTAGTAGTAGTAGTAGTAGTAGGAGGAGTAGTAGTAGTAGTCGTAGTAGCAGTAGTAGCAGCAGCAGCAGCAGCAGTAGTAGTAGTAGTAGTATTCGTACTAGTAGTAGTAGTACTAGTAGTAGTAGTAGTAGTAGTAGTAGTAGTAGTACGGGTAGTAGTACTGGTAGTAGTAGTAGTAGTAGTCGTAGTCGTCGTCGTCGTCGTCGTAGCAGCAGCAGCTGCAGCAGCGGCAGTACTAGTAGTAGACGTACCACCAGCACCACCACCACCACCACCACGACGACGACTACTACTACTACTGCTGCTCCTACAACTACTACTACTACCAGTAGTAGTAGTAGTAGTAGTAGTAGTCGTAGTAGTAGTAGTAGTAGTACTACTACTACTACTACTACTACTGCTACTACTACTGCAACTGCAACTGCAACTACTGCTACTACTACTACTACTAC